AGCAGCTCCGGCAGAAGCTGCTGAAGCTGCTGCAGACACCCCTGCTGCCAGTGCTCGGCCAAGCGCCTACAGGAGCCGCAAGCAGAACCAACCGGCCGCCAAGCCGGCAGAGGAGAGCGCTCCTGCAGCAACTGGAGATGCGGCGCCTGCAGCCACCACAGGTTCTGCAGCTGCTGAAGCGGCCACTGGGCCGGCAGCTGAGACGGCTGCTGCAAAACCATCGACAGAGGCGCCATCAGAGGCTACACCAGAAACTGCCGCAGCAGCTCCGGCAGAAGCTGCCGAAGCTGCTGCAGACACCCCTGCTTCCAGTGCTCGGCCAAGCGCCTACAGGAGCCGCAAGCAGAACCAGCCGGCCGCCAAGCCGGCAGAGGAGAGCGCTCCTGCAGCAACTGGAGATGCGGCGCCTGCAGCCACCACAGGTTCTGCAGCTGCTGAAGCGGCCACTGGGCCGGCAACTGAGACGGCTGCTGCAAAACCATCGACAGAGGCGCCATCAGAGGCTACACCAGAAACTGCCGCAGCGGCTCCAGCAGAAGCTGCCGAAGCTGCTGCAGACACCCCTGCTTCCAGTGCTCGGCCAAGCGCCTACAGGAGCCGCAAGCAGAACCAGCCGGCCGCCAAGCCGGCAGAGGAGAGCGCTCCTGCAGCAACTGGAGATGCGGCGCCTGCAGCCACCACAGGTTCTGCAGCTGCTGAAGCGGCCACTGGGCCGGCAGCTGAGACGGCTGCTGCAAAACCATCGACAGAGGCGCCATCAGAGGCTACACCAGAAACTGCAGCAGCAGCTCCGGCAGAAGCTGCCGAAGCTGCTGCAGACACCGCTGCTGCCAGTGCTCGGCCAAGCGCCTACAGGAGCCGCAAGCAGAACCAGCCGGCGGCAGCTGCGTCGGAGGTTGCTTGGTTGGCGTGTGGGTTTTGGACTTTTGAGAAGAAATAGTTTTCTTTCCTGTTAAGTACATACCCAAGAATCCCAAGAACTGTACTTTTTGCAGGGCCAACGACCAGCCCAGGTTTCCGAGTCCAAGCCGCCTGATGCCGAGGCGGATGCTTCGCCCACGGCACGTGGCTCGAGCTACCGCAACCGCCGCCAGAGCGCGGCCAAGGCCGAGGCATCCGCGGAATCGCGGCCCAGCGCCTACCGAAGCCGGAAGCAGAATCAGCTGCCGGACTGCAAGAAGTGCTGTCCATTGTTGCACGCGCACGCGCACCCACACAGAGACACACGCACACACAAACGGCAGTTGCTTCTTCTTCTTCTTCTTCTTCTTCTTCTTCTTCTTCTTCTTCTTTTTTTTTGGGGGGGAGGTTGTAGCAGAGCCGCGGGGCATTCGCTACATAGCCCAAGCCATTACATACCATATGTATCAAGATTTGCTGACTCGTTAGATATCCCTCGCTGCATACCTTCGTTACATACCTCGACATGACCAAACACCCCTAGCCGGTTGCAGGCCCTCTCGTGGCATACCCCGATGCGTATCCAGACTCTGAGTGATTTCCCAAGCGTGCCTGCAGAGCAGAGGGCCGGAGGATCCTTTTTCTGTGCTGTACCTCGTTACATACCCCAGCCTGGGTCCAGCGCTCCCCTGCAGCGTCATGCAGCTTGCGCTGAACAGTTGCAACTGTCGAGCTGGAGTGCGCACTGCATAGAGCTGCGGAAATGCACTTTGCTTTCTGTGCAACAGTGTGTTACTAGCCCTCGCGTGGTGAAGAGCTGCGACTTCTGAGCAAGAGCTGCGGAAGGGTCAAGCATTGTTTTATTCTGCTACAGATCAGAGATTCGTGGCGTGTTGCGCGTTACATACCCAAATATATATATATATATATATATATATTTAAAACAAGAAACATAATGCATAAAATATACTTACATGTACACACGAGGACAGATTGGTTGCTTGATGTGAACTTGAACACACGCCCTGTCTTGAAGATAGATGGTGTCCCTGTGTGCATATCACCTGCTGCGCTGGACAACTTCCACACAAACAACCGGCGAACCGATAACGCTAATCCGGCGCATCAGCTACCCCCCGTACCGATCCCGCATGTCAAGTACAAACGAACTAACTAGGACGGCAGCTTGGATGATGTTCAAGCATTGCTGGGTTTGTACTCCCCATCCCGAAATGTCGCCTCCCCATAAAAGCGGCGAACATTTTGAAGCGCCTTGCGGCGGCTGAGAACAAGTAGAGTAACTAGAGACCTCTCACACTTGGACCCTCAAAAACAAACGCTTGGTGGCCCTCTTTTGTTTTCGAGCACCTGTGCGAGGTTTTCCATTGTGCAGCAACAGTTTGGTATTTTGCAACCCCCTTTCACAAAGAATCCATTTGGCGCTTAGGGGCTGAAAAGGGGAACCGCCCAAAATGACGACTTGGGTTACGTTTCTTGGTGAAACACCAACCCAACTGAAGGCCTTCTAGGGACTCGGAAACGGGTCCGGTCGGTACTTTAATGTTCCTGTTTCCCTTCCAGCCATGGGCATCAAAGCGCGCGCGGAAGCACATCCCAATTGATTTCGCCTTGTCCCTTGCATCAACTTCCGGTTGCCTTCCAGCTGTTGCTTGTCTCAACAGAACAACCCTTTGTCCTTTGCGGTCCCTGTGGGTATTTCCAATTTGAGCCATCGGATCTACTTTAAGGCCCAAAGCGGCTGCGGCTCCTCGGCATGTCGCATAGAACTGAGTCAATTGCGCTGAGCATTTTGAGCGGGGGGCAAAGCGGGAGTTGCAAGCAACACATCAAATGTGCCCCTTTGGAGTACTGCGTCCCCTGAATTGGTTTAGACAAGCAGTTTGAGAAGATGCATTTGTTTTGCAGGCTCAGGGGTCTTGTTTGCGTGTTTTGCCAACACCAAGCACGGGCTTACTAAAATGAGAAGGGCAGAGCTGTTGAAGCACCTTGTCAGTATTGTTTCCGAAACATGACCAGACGGACGAACTGTAGCAAGTTCCACCTGTGGGTAAGACCAGCTTATCCATGATGAAGGTCTTTTCCCCTGGGATTCGTGGTCTTGATTTATAATCATTATGGTAAATTGCCCAGAATAAAGTCTCTGCGGTCTTTCCAGGATGTTTGACTTTGCCTCAACGCAACTCACTGGAATGGACAATTGGTTGTTGTTTTCGGACCTGCCTGTGAAACATCCAGATTGAAAAGGCATGGCTTTGTTGCTTCGCTGGATGCCTTAGACGAAGAAACCCTTTGAGCACGATGATTGTTTGGCAGCTCCTTTTTGGAGTTCCCTTGAAACAAAGGAGCTCCAAGTCTGCGATAGGCACAGCATCTAAAGATCAACGCCTTTGGATTCGTGCCAAAAAACCAGCTGGATTCCATTTTCTTAATGATCTGAACTGAGTTTGGTCCATGTCCAACCGACAGCCAACTCTTTTGCTCGTGCCCACATCACAACTTGTCTTTCCTGAACTTGGCGCCACCAAGACCAGTGGTGGGGCTGCCAGGTGCGAGTTTTCGGCCAAACCTGCTGTTTGACGTGGCTGAAGAAAGCATTGGACTTCACGCTCCCAGCGATATGTTTTAAGTTGCATTTGTCTGTTGTCGGATCTGAGTCAATAAAGCCATTCACAGCCTCATGTGGGTGTGTCGTCAACCTTGTTGTGTTGGTTTTGTCTAATACAGGGAGAGTTGACTTATCTCACCGGTTTTCAAATCGAACAGAACCATAGCATAATCTCGCTATCAAAGGGTCTTCCCCATCTTTGTGGAGCAAACTCATTTACTTGTATATAGGCTTCCACTGGTTGGACGCCAATACTTTCGTTGACGTTGCACTCCAAAGAAAAGGCGGTTTCTCTCATGCTGCAGGCCCCGAGCAACGAGGAGGAGATGTTCTGAGCTGAAGCGGCGAGCCATGGCTCGGGGGTGCGATCAGTGGATGGCTGGCTCAGCTTAGGCATGTCCTCTAATGAACAAGGACTAGGTCCCCCAGCAAGTGGTGTCCTTTCTCACCGTTTCCTTTTTGGTTGGGAGATTCGGTAATTGCCCTTATTCTAAACTCTCTACTGGAGGAGCTAAAGGAGTTGCCCGGACGAGCAATTGAGCACGGCTTTGTCCATTTTGCCCCAAGCAAAGGAGCAAACGAAAGGGGAGGTTTCCATGCAGCCAGATTCTGGTTGATTCAGGCAGGTTCTCCTTACAGCCTGAGCAGGGATCTTCAACATCTCCAAGCGTTTCATTGGATGCTGCCATAAAATTGCAACCTTTGAGCGAAAACATCTTCTGAGCCCTGGTCATCTATAAAGATGCGCCTCGCGCATCATCAGATCCTTGCCCTGGCCGCGTGTTTGCGCAAGCATGGCTATGAGGAGGAGCTGAGCTCTCCAAGTGGTTGGCACAACTTCCCATGCCGCCCACGCCTGGCCAGGCGAAGTGCACCTGCAGCTCTCGAGAACTCGTGGAGTGGGTAGCCACCAGAGCGAATGCCTAGATTCAGACTTGATTGGGCTGACTCGGAGAAATGCGAGCGCTTGGTGTGTTTGATTGGGCTTTCTAGATTTCCCCGTTCGTTTCTGTTTTCATCACCTTTTTGGCCCATGCTGTTTTGTTTTGTCCAGGGATGAGATTTAAAGGGAACCCTTTGCGCAGTTGAAAGTTTTTGCTCGCACTTGCGAGCCGCATTTTTGGGCATCCCTTGCCGCAACGAGGTGTTTGGGCTGTTTTTTTCATCCCCTGAAGGGAGCAAGGGCTACAACTCATGAGGCCAACGAAAGCTTTAGAATGTTGCCCCCAGATTAAGAACGGTAAGAACCCCCAGCCATCCCCTGAGCTTTTTAGCCCTTTGGTGTTCAGTGGTGGTTTCCATTTAACCCGCTAAAGGTTAAGCTTTTCGCAGGGGATCTGAGGGCAGCCCAATGAAAGAACAGGGGTCTATCAATCCCGGGGTCAACATGAAGGCCTTAAGTCCCTAAGGCGCTTGGGTCCAGTCGCTCGCTCGTGGGTTTGGTGCGAGCCGTCTGGAAAAAAGCGCCTGCGAGGTGAGCACCTGCGAGGATGGCGCCTCCGGCGGACGCCAGAGTTGCGCCTCCTACTGCAAGGCCTGGGGCTGCCCGGGGACTCGGTCGCACTGCGAGGGCGAGGAAATGAGCACAAAGGTATGGGCCCACAGGCGGATCAGGCGCCGGTGGCTAAAAAACGCCAAAAGGCGCCACATGTGTCCGGTAGATGATAGATATTTGCAGTGGTGGTCAAAGCCGTTTTGGGATCCCAAATGTTGGTTGGTAGCTGAATTCACCACCCAACTTTTAGAACCTATTTTAGTGGGGATTGGGATGTTCACTGGGGGTACGGGATTTTGACTCATGGCCACATGGGTGTGGCTCAAAATGAAAGAGCTAGGGTTAGGCAGGTTGTAGTCTTTGGTTCCAAAATACCAAGGGTCTATTTTGGTACCTTTTGTTGAGCCACAGACACATCCCGATCCACTGCGTGATCATGAACGTTACCGAACACGACGCCCGAGGGGCGGCCCCACCTTCAACTAGGTTGTGCGCCAAACAGTTTCGGCATGATCCCTGGAGAAACTGCACGAAAAAGCAGCGTTCCAAGCTGCCTCACATGCCCAACTTGACAAGTTCAGCACTTCCCTTCGCTGAACTTGCTCCGGAAAAGCGGCCTTGCCCACATGAGCATTTCCATACCTTGGCTTCTTACCTTCCACTGATGGCTCCCCAAATCAAAAATCCCCAATCTTGGGACGCGTCTGAGGTACCATGATATTGTTCAGACTCTGTTCTGTATTTAGTCTACCCTGAATCATAAACAACTATTCGGAGAAGACCCCAGCACGTTGCTGAGCGCAACGTCGGTTCGCATTCGTCCCATTCGTCGCTGACGCATGCTGACACCTGTTTTGCACCCTTGGCTTGCTAAACATGTTCGGAAAAGCTTGGTTTAAGAACGGAGCAACAACGAACAAGTTGCAAACATGAAGAAGGCTTCCACTTACTCAGCCTATCTCATCTTCAGAGGAGTCAGCAGGCTGCCCCGGAACTCGTTGACATCCAGTCCAGTTTCTTTGCTGTTCGATTCAAGGACCGGCAGTTTTTGTTGGCTTCCGTGTCTGATCAGAGGGCCCAACCCAAAATGCTACTACAAATAGTGGAGTCACGAATAGTGCTGCCGGTTTTGATTGTGAAACACTGGCTGCGCCAACTGCCTGCATGTCAAAAGCATCGGCATGATGTGCCTCCAAGACAGTTTGACTTTCAGAGGTCCACAAGCCCATTGATGGCTTCGACAACCGTTCCACCGTTCTACCGCCTTTTGCGGCGAATATTCACACAATGTTTGAGGCTGGCATTTTTTCAGATGAAGCTGGCAGAAACAAATAGACTTACTATGCACACAGAGGGGTCTTCGAACTGCGTTTGGTCAAAGCCGCGGTAGCAAGGGCAAGGCTTTGGAGCGGTTTGTCTTCGAACTTGGTTTGGTGGGCCGTCCAGAGATGGTGCCCCTTCATTGTCTCTTCCCCCCAAAAATATGTGCGTCGTGGAAACAAACGCATGTAATTAAACATGTGCATATACATATCACGTAAATGCAAACACACACACACACACGTAATATATATATATATAGATAGATAGACTTAGAGTTTTGGTCTATCAAGAATGACCTTGTGATGGGCTGAAGCGAAGGATCCGAGCACCCCACTCGCCCTCCAAGGTAGCACCCAGAAGCGTGGCCAGCCGTCGGGCCTCGAGGACACTGACGAGGCTGGTGGGGATGGGCCTTGTCATTTGACTCGGAGCTATTCTAGGGATACCTTCCATTTCCATTCCTGCCAGGGATCCGAATCTTTCCAGAAAGCCTCCGGAAAACCCGGGGAAAACGGCTGGTGTTTGAAAAGAACGATGGGTGAAAAGAATGGGGAATCAACCTCTAGAGCTATAGGGGAGCCATTGTAGCCGAATAGTGACTATGAACTGGAACCCTGGATTAAATGCCCCAGGTTGATTAATTTCATTAATAGGATTGGAACCCTGGATGAAAAAACCCGTTGATTAGTTTTATCAATAGGGGTGTCCGAGTTCATCACTTTTGGAGGGGCCCACCCTTGTAAATTGGACCGATTTCTTATTCTGGCGTCCACGGGGGTGGGCTGCAACCTTCCCGTGGCTCCCCTTCCAACTCAGTGGACATTTCAGCTCGACAGTCTTGGGTCCGTGCAGCCTTGGTACCCCAAAAGTGAGTAGATCTTTTGGCAGACCAGCGAATGACTAAGTCAAGATTGGTCTCGTGGCAAGCAGGGACTCTAGAACCAACAAATCTTCCCTCAGCAGCCCTGAAGCCCCAGATTCCATGATTCTAGAGCCTTTTTTTCTGATGTGGAAGGGACTTATGTGTTGTTGTTTAGTCACGGGTGGGTTTTAGTTTAGTCGTTTAGTCACGGTCGGACGGGCGGAACTTTTCGCGAGGACCATTGTATCTATCAGAAGCAATCAATCATTTCCCACTTTCAGTGAAGCCACCCGTCGACCATGGAGGAGGGTTTTAATCGTGTGTCGAAGTCAACGTCAACACGATCGGGCGAAATACCAGGAGCTTGTACGTCTCCAGCAACCTAGAGATGGCAGTGACGTAGGCCTAATGATCACAAACACATGCAATTGAGCAACTAGAGGACACTGAGACGGAACTGGAACTTACACATCTCCAGCGACCTGCAGGGACGGCACTGTTTTTGGCCTAGTGACCCCAAACATATATAATTGAACAACTACAGGACACAGATAATGTCTAGCATGCTTTTTGTGTGTAAGTGGTGTGGCCTCGAAAGCAACGGTCTGACATGTCACCAGTTTGGGGCAGGGTCCAGCTTGAGGGAAATTAACAGGTGATGGGCAGTTGTCTTGTTTTCCAGACCCCTATTTGGGTGTGTCTTGTTTTGGGGTGCTTCTTTGTCTTTTTCTTTTTTGTGGTTTTCTCTTGGACACCAAGAGGAACACCCACTCTTCGGGGTCCCTAAACCCGTTGGAAGGAAAGCCCATGGGGGTCCCAAGCCCTAAGCTGAGCCACCCGAACGCGGCGGGCAGGTCTTCGCTGCTGGCACGGCACGGGTGAGCTGGAAGAGGCCAGGGTCGGTTGGAGCACGACTAGGTCCCCCAGCAATTGGCGCCCGACCTCTCACCGTTTTTTTTTGGCTGGGAGGGTTCCCCTAGTAAAATAGACTACAGAAAAAGTTGGTACCCTTATTCTAACCTCTCTACTGGAGCCTTAGACTATTTTTGGGGGGATCCCCCCCCCCCCTCCCCCCAAAATGGGGAGTTTCCTTCTGGTTTCCCTTTAAAGACTCCCAAAAAGTCGACGACATTTGGGATACGCTGTTTTTTAGGTCCCCCCCCCCCCCCCCCAAATGGTGGGTTTCCTTCCTTCTGGTTTCCCTTTAGAAACCCCAAAAAGAATCCCTCAAAAAAAAGACACACCCAAATAGGGGGCACATGGGGGAAAACCCCAAACAAATATGTGTTTCCTTTTCGTTCCCCTTCTGAAAACCAACCAAAAGGGGCCCCAAAAAGAGGCCGTTGCTCCAACACTGGTCCGCTAAAAGAGTTGGTTTCTGTTTGGGTTTCTCTAAATACCCAACCGAAAACTCATTGCTAGACAGGTCAACCCGACCATGGTTCCAATTCTGTTTCTACGAGAGTCATTGAACAGCTGGGTCCGAGCGCGAAAAGACTCAAATTCTAGTAGGTTTTTGGGCAATGGCCGGGTGCCAGCTTTCCATTTTGTTTTTTGATTTGCGGAACAACGCCTCGGGTCCCCATGTGTTTCACCCCCTAAAAATCCACTCGCCAGCGCAACGCTTGCCAAGTTTCTCGCAATTGATGTGGCTGCTTGTTTCAACAGTTTAGCCGCCCTTTGCTTGGTGGTTTGGATATGTTTGGATTGGCGGTTTGGGGGAAACCCCTGGCTCTGAGGGTAAATGGAAAACCACCCCACCCCTAGCCACCACGGATCCAAGTTTCGCTAGAGGGAAGCTGAAGAGTGCCACTTGCTGGAAAGAAAGAATGACACGCGGACATACGGACATTGGTGGCTTTCGAAGTAGCAGAAGCCCAAACTGCTGGATCACATCCCGGCGATGGTCCATTTTGGTGTCGGACATCTCTCACTTCCCGGGTTTCTGGGCTTCATTCAGTGATTTTGGGCGACCATGTTCGTGGCAAATCCGAAGCTTCCATTTGCTTAAGTCCTTTGGACAAAATAAAATGAGGTCCAGTAGTGATAGATTCCCTTTATGACAAAGAGGGACAATAACACATAATTACTCTTAGATCTTAAGCAAATGGAAGATACGTGGCCGGCTCGCGAAAAATCAGTGGATTTCCCGCTGCCTGCAGCGAGTTTTCCTCACGCCACTCGATCGGAAGTGAGGGGTTGTTCCCGGGGTCGTAGGGACTCGCTGGAGCTGGGCGGCCGCAACTTCGGGCGGGGAGCCAAGCCGCGATAAGTTGCATCCTTTCACAAAAGGAGGCTCTGCACACGAACGATATTGTGTTGATCAAAGCTATAACAGTGTTTGTCTTCTTTTTTAAAAAGGATGAAATGACAGTTTTCCGAGTGCGAAGAGGTGCATTTTGTGATATCTTCCAAATGAATACTTTTGCTTTTCCCGACTGGCTGGAACCCGTGGCGCAGATGCACTCGCGCAGAATGACCCAAAGTCCAGTGAACTTATCTCAACTGCTGTGTTTTCCAAGGGCCTTAAGCAAATGGAAGTAGGGTTGTGGGATCAAGGGGTTTATCCCCACTTCTGTGATACAAGGGAATCCCCTCTTTAAATGGCGAGGTAGTCTTTGGGGGACCTTTTTCTTGTATCACAGAAGTGGGCATTTCCCACAGCCCTGGACTTCCATTTGCTTAAGGCGGCCCTGAATGGAAGTGAAGGGTGCCATCTTCATTAATACCACGGCTCCCGCCTTTGAAGTATCTGTTGCCGCCTGGTTTAGGCCCTTTCCACGGTCAAAAGGCCTCAGAGAAAAAGGTGCGGGCATCGCCAAGGAATCCGGGTGGAATGTGTTGCAACCAACACTGGCTTAGCTTTTGTAGCTTCACTGCATAAGTATAATAACTCCTGTCTCAGACTGCATCCCCCCAATCTATCGCGTTGGAGTTTACTGCCACGCAAGCGCCCTCCCTTTGCAGCCTCCGAACATGCATCTGACACAGCCTTCAAGAGGAATGTGACGTTGCTGGCACTCTGCAGGCAAGTTGAACACTGTGGCAGCGGGCATGTATGGAGGAGCAGAAATTGCCAGGCTGTATACGTCGGCTAGTTTGCAATTGTTCAAACTATGCTCCTTTCAGCTTTGCTGGGTTCCATGTTCGCGGAGAGGGCAGGTGAAGTTGGCCCCTTGTTGTTTCGAATGCGGGTACCCACAAGGTTGCAAGTCTCTTTTTTTTTGGTGTGTGCCTTTCTGAGGTTATTTTTTTTCAACATCTCAAGCAAAACAGAAGGCACCCCCAGCATTTTGAGAAACCCCAACAAACAAACAAAGGGCAGTCCCAAGAAGTTGGGGGGCCCCAGGAGACGCCCACGCCCAAAGTCACAGATTGCAGTTTCGGCGCCCTCCTGTAGGCCTGTGACCTATGGCGCCATGCTGGAGGCAGCCACACCGGGCGGCTCATCGCTTCTTTGTTTCTTCTTTTTTTTGGGCGGGGGGGGTTCCACGAGAATGCACTTGCTTGTGGTTATTGTTTTTTTTCAAGGGCCCTCCTTCTTTTTTTGTTGTCCTCCCTTTGGTTTGCTTCTCGGAGGCCGCAAAGAAGGGGGTAGCCAAGAGAAGACCCAGCAAGTTGGAAGGGCTGATCTGCGCGATGCTTGGGTTTGGCAGACCCAGCCGGATTGCTTGGCTGGCCCGGGACTATGTGACAGGGCTCCTCTCAATGCGCTTCTCCCTTCAAATCATAAAACACAATGTGAAACGTTAGCTAATGTTGGCCTATATGATCACTGCTGTATATTTGTCCCCATTTTTCCTGCAGAAGAACAAAGTCTCCGCAATTCGCAGAGCTATTTATTTGGATGAGTTCGCATGTTTCTTGATTCTTGCCCACAATGTTTCCCCAACCCGAGAAAGCATATGGGTGTTGATAGTACCCCTTGGTTCGTGGTTTTGGACAGGTCCAAATTGTTGATCCTCCTCCTCAGATCTCAAAGGTCAATATCTTGCTGGGCAGAATTGGAGCCAAGGTTCTCTGATGTCTGGCTTAAAGGCGCTGACTGCAGCTTGGGTCTTTGCAGGTCACGAAAGATATCCCTCTCGGCTGGGTGAAACACTCTAAGAAGTTAGCTACAGGAATTTCTATTGGAATTCCTCGTGTTTTGGTGGGTATTAGGCCGATTTCCCGTAGAAATCCCTGTCCGCTGCTTTCTATAAAAGGAACAAAGGATGTTTGGCCAACTCCTTGTAGTTTTTCCTGCAGGTTTCCACATGTGACTATGAGTGTTAATGGGGAACACCCTCCCCAAATGGTTGATGGATTTAAATATCCACTTCGGGTCTGGGACCGACCCATTTGAGTTCATACCCATCTCCATGTGAGCCAAAATCAAAACACGGATAGATGAAGGTTAGTAACGGATAATCCCAACCAGAAATGGGTGCAGCCGCCTTGTTAATGCTTTCCACGGAAACTGGGTGGCAGGATTTTTTTTTGTTGGTATTTTTCCTTTTTTTTGGGGGAGGGGGTTGATTATGACTCATGTGTGTTTTCTCGATGCAGGTGGAATCCTACGGCGGCAATGGTGGCGGAGCCTTCTTGGGCTTGGTGCGGGAGAAGGCTGCGAGGCGAGGAACGACGGGTTTCGGAGGGAAACCGCAGGTCAGGGAGCTGTGGTGCTGGTTTGGTTTGATTGTTGGATATTTGGCTGGCTTGCGGCGTTTGGCATGGATGGGTTTGGTTTGTTTTCATATTTGGGATGACTCTTCATGGCTTCATGTTGGGCTTCCCACCAAAGAGGGTGGGTAGAATCCCTGATCACGAGCCATGTGTGTGACAGAGAGCGGGCACCGTTTCACCTTTAGCTTTCTTCGGAACCCCAAAGGCCAAGCACAGGTTTTGTCTAGGGCGTCCCCCCTTCGAGACATACCTCAGGTAACTCCTCAATTGATGCTTTCGGATTGGCTTGGAGACCCGAGCCCCTGGTTTTTGGTAGAGGGTAAGTGGGAAACCACAACAACCACCAATCCAAACCACGAATTAAAGCCCCTGCCCCCAATCCAACCACCTGAATTTATGGTTTGGATTACCCCTGACCACCAAACCACCAATCCTATCCACCAATTAAGAAAAAGCTGACCCCTTGATCATGGTTGTTGTTGGAAAAGTTTTACATTTTTGCTTATTGTGGTTTAGTGGGACATCCCCACTTAGCTGCAAAATTTGATTGTTTGCTCCCCTTCCAACGTCAACCAAGTAATGGTTATAGGGATTCTGTTCCACAAGCCAACCCCACTGACATCTTTGCGGATTCAGATCATTTGCGTCTCATGGCCCGCAGGATTCGCCCCACGCTGGTCGGGCAGACTCCCCTAAGGACAGGATTGGAGGCGATCGACCTCGTGTTTCGACAAAGAAGACTCAAGCAGCAGCTGGTTGACTGCCGAACTTGGGTACAGCTGTTAGGCGGGCTGTTCTGGGTTTTGCTCACGCAAACTAAGTGGGGATACCTTTGAGATATGAGACGGCCAAGAAGCGGCTCGCATTTGCCATGAAACCTGACAGTGGGTCCTTCTTGAAATGTCATTACCACCAAAATACCGAAAGTGCCCACTTGTCATTCTTATTTATCAAAGACACTGCTGGAAGCTCTGCAGAGAAAGACTGGGGCCTTCCATAGCCCCCAGAAAGGTTCGATCCGATCCCTTCGAACAGACCCCCTGTCCAGGGGTGTGGGAAGCTGATATCATCTCCGGATTTGTCTGGTGCAAGCTCCTCACGCAGCTAGAGGCAGGACTCCAAAAGCACGGCATACAGTGCAATATCCATGGCCCTTGCCCTCAACTGACTCCGTTGCTTGCAACGTGCACAGTTGCCTTTTCTGGATGTCAGTTGGGCTGACCTGGTAATGTCACTCACAGCAAAGTCTGCTGCGCAGCTTGTACAGCAAGTAACTGCCGCAAAGCTTTTGGACATTTGCTCCGACTTTGAACTCAGCCGGCAAGACCGATAGACAACGAGGCACCGGCGGCAACACAGTCAAAGTTGATATTTCTGTGCTGCCGACGCCATATTTGCAATCTCTACTTGCGGGAGTACTTGCAAGCAGCCTCGTGTCACTGACCGATACCTACAGTGGCAGCATGGAGCTTGAGGTGCGCACCAAAATAGGCACGATGTGACATCCGGCGATGTGGAACATATGGCTGTGGCTCAAAAAAAACGGTACCAAAATGGAACCCTGGTAAGTGGAAACATGGACCAAAGCCTGAGTAATCCCTCCTGCTTAATTTTGAGCCACACCCATGTATGAACCCTATGCCGTTGCTTTTGGCAACAAGTGTACCGGCCTCGAACGCAAATGTTAGCTACTTCAGTCTTTGGTCATCAGTATCCCGCGCTTTAATCCAGGGACATGGGGCCTGTTGTCAAAGCAGCTGAGCAATGGGGCCATTCTGGCCCTTTGCGCATAGCTGGTTTTGTGCACGGAAATCTCATTGTCCGACATTGGACGAACCAGCAGGTACTACAAGCAGTCATGCAGCCCAGTGGCAAGGTCATTGACACGCTGCCAAGCTATCGTATCTACGCTCCTTGGTTTCCAATGCTGACAACAAGCTTTGGATGTGTCTGCATTATGAGGGGAGGGGCCCCTTGTTATTTTTCTAGAGAGGAATCTCAACATGCCAACCTCAGATGAATCAATGGCGGATGATGGGGGGTCTGAATCAGAGTTCAGAAAATCAGACATCCCCACCTTTCGCCTCTCGCCTCAGCCGCCTTTCGGCCCGCAAACGGATCGGAACTCGGAGCATGCAATCCGAAGGACGGTGGCGGTGGACCTGCGCACGCCGGGCCAGGAGCGACGGGTCGGGGTGCGTCTTAAGCGATGAGTCTGCCGATTTGGATGGCGAATTTCCACACCGCTATGCCAAAATCATCATTGTTGCTGGAAACTGTTCAACAAAAGGTGCTGCAAACAAATGATATAATCACTCATGTGCAACACTTCCTTTTTTCACAAGCTGTTGTTCCTCCGTGCAAATCGGTGACTGGTGGCCGCGACAATAATTCCAATACTGAAGTAAGGTATCCCCAAGTCCCGCCCACACTGCTGCTCCAAACACCGTTCGGCTGTTTGTGGCGGCAGGTATGCTCTGCTTGGGAAACGGGCGACCTCACAGCAGCACTTTTGCTCCATCCGGCTTTGTCATGCAGCCTCAGCAATGAATCATGTTGCAAGCAGGACGAACAGGTGCTGCAATCAGGTGTGGCTGCCAATCAGGGCTTGAAGAGCACTACCCACTCATGCACATGTTCAAGATGTCCAGCAGTATAGAGCCACAATTCACAATCAAAACCCGGCTAGATGAAGGTTAGTGACGGACAATCCCAACCATAAATAGCTGCAGCCGCCTTCTTAATTCTTGAAGCATGGTTCTGGGTCGAGCATTTAACTCCGGGTTTGGATTGTGACTCAGATATCACCGAAGGGCCACGAAGCGGAATCCAACGGCCGGAAAAAGCGGTATAGATGCTTAATGGATCCTTTGCACTACCCACTCATGCTGTTCAAGATGTCCAGCAGTACAGATGTTTCCTGGCTCCTTTGGCAACCGGACTTGAGAGCCCTGCGGCTTGGATTGCTTGGATCGAGGAGCGGCTGCAGCTCTCTGGTGAGCCGCCAGGCAGAGAGTTCTTGGGCCGTCACGGGTTTTTGCCTCAGGGTCCGTACCCGTTGTCCCTTTTCAACATACCGGATTTGTTGTTTGTTTGTTTGTTTGTTTGTTTGTTTGTTTGTTTGTTTGT